TCTGTTATTGATGGAATATCCTAGGAAAATTCCCTCATCACTACTAAAAATAAGACATTTGGTTAAATGATTTTACATCAGATTTTAAGATATATGATAATATGATGTGAAAAATATTTGTCAAAGGATTTTACATCAGATTTATTAACAATGTGATGTGAAAAATATTTGATTTAATGATTTTACATCAGACATATATTTCCACTGATGTGAAAAATAACGCGGTGACAATGTAGTAAATAATAAGAAATTTTGTTATAAAGGATTTTACATCAGGCCATTTAACCCAATCGATGTAAAAAATTCTCAATAAAAAATAAATAAAATGGGTTAAACATTTTACATCGGGCCTTTTACACCAACCGATGTAAAAAATAACGCGGCGCTGTTCCCCGTCAACCTCTTCCTATCATGCACGGTTCCACCATCCAGAAACAACCAAGACGCTTGTGCCCGTAACTATGCCCCTGCCACCGGCTAGTTATGGGCACGTCTGCCCGTCCCAACGACTATTTTTGACAGTTACCTATTCTTCGGGAAACGGTTCTCTCCCTGAAAATAGGGACCAATGGCCAAGCCCTGGGGGAATTATAAAAACCCTCTCACTTGAGAGGGTCAGATATCCAATTTCTCACCTTGAAACACACATATTCTGTACTTGCTCGCTATCTTGCTTGTTTTCTTACTTTAGCATCGGAGTGCCTTGCAGGTACACCCCTTCCTCTTCTTTCATACTCAGCATCACAAACGTTCGTCTTTGGTCCATCTCAGACTCTGATTGTTCGGTAAGATCAAATGTATTTCCTTAGAAGAAAAAATGATGACCTCTCTAATTAGTTTGATGATGGTGTCATTAATATAGGAGGTTTGGGTCTTATGATTTATTTCTAGTTGGATCCTTGGGTAGGAAATATTCCCATTAAGATTAGGTTTCCTAAACTTTTTGCAATATCTAATTATCCATAAGGGACAATGGGGGAGTTAGGCCAGTTGGTCGGTGGGACTGTCATTTGAAGTTTTAGGTGGAGGAAACCTTTCTTTAAGCATAAGCAACATGCGGTGGATAACTTCTCTGCCATCCTACAATATTTGAGTCTAACTCAGGAGAAATATAAATGGATTTGAAAATATGCTAAAGATGGTATTTTCTCAGTTGCATCTACTTATCAAGCTCAAGCTAACCTTATTAATTCTTCTACCCTGCTTCATCGGGATTACCACTTATCTTGGTTAGTTGGGCCCCATATAAGGTGGTACTGTTTTCTTGGCAGTTTTTGTAAGATAGTTCCCCTCTAGGAATCTTTTTTAAGCGAATGGTGATTATTGACCCATATGATGTTTCTTGTCCTATGCATGAGTGTTTGCTTGAGTCGACTTCTCATCTTTTGTCACCCTGTGATTTAGCGCCAGTTGAGTGGTATAAGATCTTTAAGTAGTTAGGATGACAAATGATTCTTTTTAGTGACTAAAATTTTTTTTTATAGTTTATTTAATCCTTAGGTGGTAGGATTAAGTATATGGGTGGATATATGATTTGCCATGCAATTGTTTGGTCTATTTGAATTGTTCAGAATGATACTATATTTTTTGGTTCTTCATCAAACATCAAAGAAATGGAGGAAAAAATATTTTTCTGGCATGTAAATGATTTTTAGATAGATATGTGGTGAACTCATGAACTATCTCTGTCTACCTTCAAAATTATATTCTCTTACTTAACCAATAGCGGTTTGAGAGTTTTGTCTTGGTCCTGAGAATGGATAGTGACAATGGTACCTCTCTTGAAAGTCTTTATTTTTTTTAATTGTAATTTTTATGGTGTGAGATCTAACATGTTACTTATTAATTTGTAGTTTTTAGTTGTTTGAATTTCTCTTATTTTATTCCGCTTTATCTTTTTCAGATTTTTAGGCGTTTTTGTTGTTTCTCGTATTTTTTTTTGGTTTTGTTTTTAGTGTGCAACCAGCTTGGCACATCTTATACTTTCTGATCTCTTTGTTTATGTATTGTAATAGACTTTTATTCTCAATTTTTTAATGTATTATTTTGCTATTAAAGAAAAATAGATCGAAGACCAATCCAAAACAACAACCAAGTTCTAAAAGAAAAAGGGTGTGAGTGATCAATTTAATGTATGAGAGATGAGTGCTATTGTTCTTTGTATCTCTAAAATGATAATCGAAGAATGATAAACATTGGGGATAACTCCACATTCTTGTGAGTTTTTTTTTACCAATATGCCATGTTTTGAAATTAAAATTACCAATATGTCACAAGTTGAAAAACAATGATCAAAATGCCACGATTTGTATTAGGGTTCGTCCTTTCATTGAACGACCCATTGAAGCTAAATATACAATGAAGGGGCTCGACCAGTGGATGGCCGACCCTTTGAAGTTATTTTTTTTGTTTTTTTTTATTATTTTAAAAAGAAATATATAATATTTATTATTATTTTATATATTAAATTGTTTTTTAAATATTAAAAACTCATTATATGATTTAAAATATTAATAAATAAATAATGTAATTAATTTTATAATATTACTAAATATTTTTCACAGTATTTAATTAATTATTTAATTAATTAAATTAATTTGCTTATTAAATAAAATCATAAATAAAGGCAATTTTATTAATACTGATGAGTGAAAAATATACATCATTTTTGTCTACGTAAATGACCGCCAGTTCCATACATTTGTCTTTTTTACTCGTTTCCCGATGCCTAACTGGGTTGCCGTCTTGGAGGTGATGAGGTGGAGTCGGAAGTTAACTCTTCATTTTCAGGTTGATGTGATGTATCGACCATGTCCACATTAGTAACAGAAAAACCTGGCCATTCCATGAGTTGATCATCAGTTAAGAGATAGTTGGGGACTGGTTGGGATGATTGGTTGAAGGTGGTTGGGGGATATTACTTACTGTCAACCATTACCTAATGGGGTAGATGATGGTGTCTTCTACGTAATGATGCAGATAAATACAGACAACACACTCAAATCAATGTTCAAAAGTCATTACACAATGCCTCATTTGAAGACGATTGAGTTATATGTTTTCCTTGATGACGAAGCATATCCAACACAATCATCATATTCACATCAATACAGAGTGAGCCAAACAACTGATGAAGAAATAATGCAAATTAATGAACCTTTCATACGAAACGAGGAGGTTGGTGAATACAGTGACAATGAACTCCATGATTCGCTTTAAAGATCTATTTGGTGATGGCGATGAAGAGGATGTGTTCCCTGTGCATTCACATGTAATAAATGCTCAACCCATAAATCTGTACAATGCACCAGTGCATATGTCAAACATATGTCTGGAGTCTTCTCAACCCATCTATATTTTTGAAAACGACAAACCAAACCATATTGGTGAAAACTTAGAAGTAGGGTTGGTGTTTGAAAATAAGGAAGCACGTGTTCTTTTTTTTACAATATTGGCATATTAGTAACAATCTTGACTATGCAGTATATAAATCTGATTCAGTAAGGTATATAATAAAATGTAAGAACCACAATGCATCTTCACATGTAGAGCTGCATTGCTTAAAAAAAGCACATTATGGGAGATCACTACTATAAGTGGATCACACACTTGCACAACAACTTCTATATCACAGGATCATAGAAAATTTTATTATGAAATTATTACCCACAACATCAGAGAGCTTGTTAACAACGACGCTTCACTAAAAGTCAAAATGATACAAGCCCATATTGCTGAAAAAATACGGTTATAGAATCTCATATCGAAAATCTTGATTGCAAAGATTAAAGCTATAAAATCACTTTATGGGAATTGGGAGACGTCTTACAATGACTTACCACAATGGTTGTTGGTGATGAAGACATATCTTCCTGGAACTGTTATACAGTTGGAAACATTGCCAATTATTATGCACGACGGATCCCAATTGGGTGACAAACGGAAATTTCACCGACTTTTTTAGGAATTTGAACCGTGTATCCATGGTTTTACTTACTGTAAACCGATTGTGCAAATTGATGGAACCTGGTTGTACGACAAGTACAAAGGGACTTTGTTGATGGCTGTGGTACAAGATGGAAATTGTAACATTTTCCCGATAGCATTCGCATTGGTTGAAGGTGAGACAAAGGATGGTTGGAGTTTCTTTCTCAGGAATTTGAGAATGAACGTGACCCCCCATGCCAATCTTTGTCTAATATCCGACCGACATCCATCAATCAAGAGTGCTTACGATGATCCTGAAAATGGATGACAGTTTCCTCCATCTTCACATGTTTACTGTATCAGACATATTGCGTAAAACTTCATGCGTGAGTTCAGAGACAAAGAACTACGGAAAACAATTTTCAACATGGGTATGTCTACATCTTCACGAGTTGATGTTTCAATTTTTATTTATTGACTTATTGATTTTCATATGTTTTACTGAAGATTTTGTTTAAACATTTTCATCTACAGGATATGCACTAACAGAGGCAACATTTAACTACTACAGGGGCGAAATACGAAGAACAAATAGAGCAACTTTGGAGTGGATAGACAATATTCCCAGAGAGAAGTGGTTGAGGGCGTTCGACGGAGGACAGCGGTGGGGACACATGACAACAAATTTGGCCGAAGCTATGAACTCGGTACTTAAGGCTACCCAAAACCTTCCTATTACAGCATTGGTCAAGTCAACGTTCTATCGTATGGGATCGTTGTTTGGAAAACGAGGACACGATTGGACAAAAATGTTGACATCTGGTCAAACTTTCACGGAAAACTGTAATAAGGGAATGGCTGGCGAAGCGAGTAAATCTAGCAGCCATAATATCATTCAATTTGATCGCGAGAGATTCTGTTTTATGGTTGCCGAAAGCATTAATTAACGTGATGGCCGACCATTAGGTACTTTTAGCGTTGATCTCAGGAGAGGGTGATGCGATTGTGGGAGGTTTCATTTACCTTGCTCCCATGTAATCGCAGCATGTGCCAGTATACGATAGGACCACAACATGCACATATCAGATGTTTTCAAGGTTCTGAGTGTATTCAAAGTCTACAGGGAAAGCTTTCTTGGACTTCCACACCAGCAAAATTGGCCAACATATGAAGGATTCACTCTTTGCCATGACGAGACAATGCGAAGGAATAAGAAAGGGTGTCCAAATAGTACAAGAAATAGAACTGAAATGGACAATCTTGAGAAAGAAAAGAGAAAATGTGAAATATGTCGAGAAATTGGTCATATGCGTAGAAAATGTCTGAATGTAGCAGACCCGTCAAATCGGCCCGTCTAAATTACTTTATTTGTTTTTTAAATTATTTTCAAAAATATTTCTTAAATTGTAATGTCTATTATATAAGTTATTAATATTTTAAATCATGTAGTGAGTTTTTAATATTTAAATGATAATGTCTATTATATTATATAAATTTTAATATTTTAAATCATAATAAATATATAAAATAATAATAATATTGTATATTTCTTTTTAAAATAATAAAAAAAACAAAAACAAAAAAATTCGTAGTATTGAGTCGGCCATCCATTGGCCGAGCCCCTTCATTATTTTATCATCTTCAATGGGTCGTCCAATGAAAGGACGAACCCTAACACAAATCGTGGCATTTTGATCATTTTTTTCAACTAGTGACATATTAGTACATTCTATTTCAAAACCTGACATATTGGTAAAAAACTCCATTCTTGTAATCTTATTTAAATTAATAAATAAATTATATTAATTCTTTTTTATTTGGTGCACAAAGATCTTTGTGCACGTGGGTTAATCCATATTATATTTTAAAATTTTCTCTATCATCTTAATATTCACTAAATTGATTTAGTTAATAAAATTTTGTTAGTATCATCATTATAAATTGTAGAGCGACAACACTTTACATGGTACAAACAATGCACGACACATGTGTTTCTTTCCCCTTCAATTATTTTTCCATGTATCATGTATTAATGTCTTGTTCATAAATAGATAGCTACTAAAGAAATTGGAACGAGTCTAGTGGTTTAGTTAGGACAAATAACTCATTAATAAAGAAAGCAAACGAGTCATGATTTGTACAACAAATATTAAATAGCCAAAAGAGTAGGGTGTCCCAGGGGGCAAATATTAATTTGCATAGATTCCACTCTAGACGTGCCACACAACTGCATGAATATGATTCTCAGCACGATATTGCACTCACAATATAGTGTGAAAGATAAGTTACAAGACTTATTGACAAGGCATGAGAATGAGAAAGTAATCAAGACTATGACTTTTGAATAATAATAATAATTAATAATCGAAGTTTTATATATATAAATAAATGAATAAGAAGAATCATTCAATAGAACCCTAGCTAGTTAAGGACCCATATAAATTAAAAATAGGGTGTGTTGAGTGGTGTGGAATGATTAAAGGAGATGAAATAATCAATAATGGTAAAAACTATGAGACAAAACATTGCTTTGAAATTCAGGTTAATTATATTCCTTCTGCAGTGCTAATGTTACTGTTAGTGAAAAAAGATTTGGATTTTTGCTGAAATTATGAATTGCTGTCCGGCCCCTACCTTCATGGTAATATGTATACTCAATTATTTTTTAACAGCAATGTTGGATTTTATGCGATTTGTTGGATTGGATGAGTTTTAGAATTCAAACTGATGTTGAAAGCTTTGATCAAAGTGTCACCCTAGCCTACCCTTCCGGCCATGTGATGAAAAGTTACAACTCATCCCGTCACTTGACAAAACAAATTAAAGAGATTGTATAAAAGCATAATAGTGCTATTTTAACATATATATATATATATATATATATATATATATATATATATATATATATATATATATATATATATATATATATATATATATATATATATATATATATATATATATATATATATATATATATATATATATATATATATATATATATATATATATATATATAACTAAATTGACTGGTCAAATAAATTGGCAATGCTCGCCAATCCTTTCCCTCTAATTCATAAATATATAAAATAAAAAGAAAAATATTTACAAGAGGACTAAACTTACCCCCCAAAAAAGATTTTTTCTTCTTCTAATAAGCGATGAATTAATACGGCACACAGGATGCACGAACTCAAAATTACAACATAAGAAAACGATACAACAAATTAAACACAATCAAGAGGTACAAAGAACAACTACAAAACCTATTATCTAAGAAAAGCCACCTCCAAGAGAAAAATTTAATCGAATTAAGAGTTTCGTCGACCGACTTGCTCTCATTTTTAAAAATAACAGAATTCCTCCTTTCTTAAATTGACCAAACTGTAGCAGCCCAAACAATGTTCCTCATTGTGTTACCAGACGAAAATTTAGATCCGAGAATGAAACGGGAAAAAGATACAATGCAATTACCTCCTCTAAAGGCCTTCACTCCAATCCACCTCTCGACCCCTTTCAATACATTCACTACGAATTCACACTCCATGAAGACATGATCGATACTCTCGTCATTTCTTTCCCACAATATGCAAATAGTAGACCCTCCATCTACTCTAACATTCCTTCTAGCCAATAAATCCTTTGTCGCCAAACAATTTCTAAATAATCTCCACAGAAACACCTGAACTTTTGATCGAATAGGTGCCTTTCACACCTCTCTCAATCCTGCTAATATTGATAATCACCCTTTCCTGAAACAAAAGATCATAACAAGAAGATACAGTAAAAGGTGTACTATTCTTGGAGTCCCATTCAAAGAAATCAACCTCCCCCTACAGGAGACATGGACTGCAAAATGTAACGCCCATTTTAATTATTTAGTCTTTTGGTGTTATTTTATTCCGGTGTGTCCTTGTGTGGGAGTGTGTCTGAGCGCGTTGGTGGGTGCCCTTAATTTATAGGAACTATCTAATAAAATGTAGACTCTAATATTAAGATAATATAATTAATAATGACGATAATTTAATAATTAGTAGTAATATTATTATTATTAATTATTATTATTATTATTATTATTATTATTATTATTATTATTATTTGTATTATTATGAGATTGAATAAATAAAATGAGGATTTAAGAGATATAAGAAGGGGTTTTGGGGTAAAGAGGAGATAGAACACGATAAACTTGTGGAGAGAGAGCAAATTGAGGAGGAAAAACAAGGGGAAGAGAAGCAAGGCTAGGGCTACCCATTCTTCAGAGTTCTTCAACAATCTGAGCAATCAATCGAGGTAAGGGGGGAGAAACTGATTGGGATTGGTATTTTACATGAATTGGGTAGAGGGGATTCCTTAACCCCATAGGGATTTGATGAATATGATTGGTATGTTGTTGATTGTTGCTGCCATTGATGAATTTGTGCATGTGTTGTTATGAAAATGGTGAAATCCTGTGTGAGGTTCTGTGGTATTAGTGATAAACATGAGTGTTGGTTCTGGAGAGAAAATTTAAGGAACAATTGGAAGTAATAATCGGTCGAATTGATGTTTTATCGGGTAAAATTTAGATTAAGTCATGTAGTTTAGTCGGGGAAATGCTGGGCTAAGACTACAGGAACTGGTTTGGTGAAAATCGGGTGATTTGTGAGCTTCTGATGATTCTGGGACAGTTGGGGTTTTGGTGGATCGTAGTGTTCGCTAGGCGAGCAGCTAGCGAGCGAGCCAGCGAGTGTTCGCTAAGGCTTTGCTAGGCGAACTGGGTAGCGAACCCTTCTAGTAGCCACTGTCTGCCTTCGCTAGCGAGTTCGCTAGGCGAGTGAGGCAGCGAGAGTTTGCTGAGGATTCGCTAGCCGAGTGAGCCAGTGAGCGTGACATAACTTGTTTTATTTTTGTGGTTCCATCCAATGTTGATGTTTTGTAGGATCCCTTTGGTCATGATGGGTATAGGGACGATGTTTAATGGTGAAGAATGTATACTTGATGTTGGAATGTGAATTTCCTAATGTTTAATGTAATTAATATAATTGATTGGTGTGTGTGTGTGTGTGTATATATATATATATATATGTATATATATATATATATATATATATATATATATATATATATATATATATATATATATATATATATATATATATATATATATATATATATATATATATATATATATATATATATATATATATATGTATGTATATATATGATGCATGGTGATGTGATCAGTAGGACCGTGTGCGCTTAGTGTGCTTGAGTTTATTTGTTGTGCATATGGTGTCGTGCATATCATGGTGTTTTGGCAGGATGAATCGTTGCTCAGGAGGAGTGTATGCAATTCACCCGTACTCCTTTATGGAGAATGGTGGGATGGATCGTTGCTCAGGAGGAGTGTATGCGATCCATCCGTACTCCTTTGTGGAGAATGGTGGGATGAATCGTTGCTCATGAGGAGTGTATGCGATTCATCCGTACTCCCTCGTGGAGAATGGTGAGGATTGATCATTGCCAAGAAGGGGTGTATGTGATCTATCCTGAGTTCGATTAAATGAACCAATGAGTCGGTGTCGCATGCATGGTGTTGAGTTGCATATTTGCATTATTATATGTTGTGTTTGATGTTGGACAGTAGGTCGTGGTTGGTACGTGATGGGTGATATTTCATGTAATTGCTACCTTTATTTCATGTATCTTATTACCGATAATTTTAATCATGTTTTCTCACCCCTTTGTTATTGTGGTGGTCTGTGCTTCTTCGGAAGTACAGATAATCCAGGTGCATAGCGAGCTTGGGTAGTGGTGTGCAGGTCGAGTCTTAGGATGCTCTGATACGTAACACGGGACTTGGGTGTTTACTTTTATTATGTTGGATTTGTTTTATTCCTGTGATGTATCATATTTTGGTGAACCTTGTTAATGAATGACTTTATGTAATTTGGCGGATGGCCGAGAATGTTGAATTAATGATTACTTCCGCTGTTTTATTTTGAAAACCATCTATTGATGTTGAATTACTTGAGGTGATATCCCACTTTTGAGGAGAAACTCTGATTTTTATTTGAAATAATTGTATATTATTTAATTTTGGGGAAGTGGGGTGTTACACAAAACATCTCGAAAGTCTTCCATCTCCCTTTCCATAATCGATCCAGTCGGGAACCCAAGGAATTGCCCTTCCCACACCCATTCCTCCTCCCTCCAATAACCCATGTCAGCAACAGAATAGGAAGGGATTATAGCATACTGAAAAAGGTTAGGGAAAATGACCTTAAAAGGTTCACCAGTACACCACCTACAATGCCAAAATGCAATGTTCTTACCATTTCCCAGCGTACATTTCAATTTCTTCACAAACCAATCC